TAGGCGGGGGCGCCCCCCCCCCCCCACTCCCACCGTGACCTCTCTCCATCCACAGCACCGGCCACCCCCAGGACTGACCTCCCCCCACGGCGCCCGCTTGCCCACTCGCTGCCTGCAGTGCGGGCTGGCCCCACCCCTCCTGCCCCCAGCACAGGGCAGGTCCGTACACTCATCGTCCGTGTGCAACTTCTGCTTGAGTTTCTCCATCTTCTTCTCATCCCGCAGCAAGGTCTTGTCCTTCTTGAGAGTGCCGGTGATCTCCTCCTTCTTCTCCTCCATCATCTCCCGCACCAGCGAGTACTCGTCGTGATTGGTGATGCCTGCAGGGGCAGACAGCGCAGTGCCCGTCACAGCCTGCCTGGCAGCCACAGGCTGGGGAGCCCCCCGAGAACACGGAGCTCCCCCTGCCCAGCTCAGCATCCCTGCAATACGCCCTATGGGGCACAGACACCGCCTGCCGGGGTAGTGCCCCTGAATGACAGCACCCCCTACCTGCATGCAGGCACTGCCCCCCACTCTCCCCGACCCCCCACAGCCCGGCAATGCCCCCTCCCCATCCTCTTGCCCCCGCACCCCCCCAGGCCGGGCAACGCCCCTTCTCCACCCTCACCCCATGCCAGGCAATGCCCCCTCCCCATCCTCTCGCCCCCCAACAACTAGGCAACATCCCCTCATTCCCCCCCACCTCCCCAAGCAAGACATCGCCACCTCCCATCCTGCCCCCGGCTCTGGCCTGGGCGGTGCTCCGTCCCTTACCAATCCGAGCACAGATTGTCATGAGTATGTCCGTGACCGTTTTGGAGTCGTCCACCATGACTGTTTTAACCGTCCCATCCAGCATGCGAATCTTGAGCGGACGTTGCTTCTTCTTGTACTCCATGGTGTCCTGCAGCACAGGCGCTCGGTGTTAGCGCCAGCGTCCGGGCATGCCCGCAGGGGCATGTGGTCACCACGCCCTCCCCTCTGTACTAGGGAATCCCGCCCACCCCTGAGGAACAGCCATGCCAGGGAGACGGGAGGGAGTACCCAGGGCTATGGAGCAGGCTGCACCAGGCACTGCCGAGCATAGAATCATAGACGATCAGGGTTGGAAGGGACCTCAGGAGGTATCTAGTCCAACCTCCTGCTCAAAGCAGGGCCAATTCCCAACTAAATCATCCCAGCCAGGGCTTTGTCAAGCCGGGCCTTAAAAACCTCTAAGGAAGCACGAGTAACCCTGCCCTGGGGCTGGGGGCAGTAGAGGCACGTACTGCACTGCAGGGCACGTCATAGTGCAGAGCTTGGGGAGGGACGCGCGGGGACTGGGCACTTACCCCATTGCGGAGCATGTAGTAGTCCAGAGCCTTCCCAGCTTCCAGCCAAATCCCCTTCTTCGGGTCCTCATCCGAAAGGAACAGCCCAAAATCACTGGCTGAAAAACAGAGCAGACTCTCCCAGCACAGGCCCATGATCCTGGGTCCCCATTCTCCCAGCATGGGCCCCTCAGCTCCCTGGCCCAGCCAGCCCATGCCCCTGGCCCCAAGAGCAGAGTTTCCCCCATGCACATCTCTCCTAACATTACAGAGGTGCAGGGATGGATGGAGAGGCTGTTCTGGGGGGCAGAGGAGAGACCGGGGGAGGTGAAGGAGCTTTTGGCAGAATGGGGAGGCTGAGGGGGACAGGGTGAGGAGACGCAGGAGGGTGGAGTTGTGTAGAGCTTTGGAGCCTCCCACCTGAATGTCTAACATGCAGCTACACGGCTCAGAGAGATGGAGAATAAGGTGCGTGCTGAGGTGTCCAGGCAATGGAGGGAGGAGAGAAGGCAGCCAGACCCACAACCATTACGAACAGAGGTAAAAACTTGCACTGAATTTTGAAGGTGCGCAGACATGGAGAGAACTCCCTCCACTGCACGGCCCGTTGGGGGAGAGAGAGTAGGACCACCCTCCGACTAGCATGCAAGTCCCACACATGGCATCTCCCTCTCGCCGAGTTCTGTGTCAAGGACGGATGGACTCTGCATTAGCGAATTGCCTTGCTTCCCCACTCTAGCGTTGGCTGCTGGTAGCCGATTATACAGAGTCATCTCCTCAATTGCTCTCCAACAGTATCAGGAGTTCCTGAGGCATCAGCATTTTGCTCATCTAGTCTAGTGGCTGTTGCATCGTTCCTCTGACAGGATCCCAAATGGCATGAAAGTCACCAGGATCTGTCTTGTCTTCATCTATTTTCTCAAAGAAAACTCCACCGAAGAAAGCGTAGCACTGCAGAGCACCAGGAACTCAGCCTGGAAAAGCCCTGCCTATGGGTAGCGAGGAGCTGCCTGAGAGCAAGACAGCGAGAGGGAAGCTGGGCACTTTGACCCCAAGCTGACTGAATTAAACACAGCGAGGAACAGACCATCTCAGAACACCGCTGCACAAAGAGCTCAGATTGCAGGGGAACAAATGCCGGGAAGTTCAGAAATCTAGTGAGTACCCTGCACTGGGAAGCAGTAATAAAACCCACCAGCGGGGAAGGTGGCGGGGAACCCGAAATGACAGCATAATTAAGGCACAATAGCCTGTGATTTCTCTTCCCGTACCAGAAACAGGAACTACCTAGGAATACACAGCCAGGAAAGACTGGCCAGGAAAGAGATGGCATCAGGAAAGCGGTAACAAATCCAGATAGTGGCAAAAGCTTATTCTCAAAATTAACTGGACAGGAATCATGTGGCCTGTGCATCAACTAAAGGGAAATGACAAAGGGTGAGCAATTGAATGAGTTACAAAGCAAGGAATGTTAGAGGCGGGGGGGGGGGGGGCTCTTCAAATCTGTCAGACAAAAAAGAACAATCAAGGATGGCATGATGTGCTGCTCAGTGGAGAAGGTGAGCTGGTAACGGTAGATGAGAGGAAGGCAGAGTTGCTCAATGCCTACTTTGCTTCAGTCTTCTCACAAAAAATAACAGGTGACCAGACGACCAGCAAAGTTATCACAGACAATCAAGGGGAAAGGAGGCAGATCAGGACAAGTAAAGAACACGTCAGATCTTCTGACCAATCTGAATGAATTCAAATCAGCGGGGCCAGATGCTATTCACCTCCAGGTACTGAACGAATTAGCTGAAGAACTCTCAGAGCCACTGGCAACGATATTTACAAGCTCATGGCTGACAGGAGAGGTCCCAGAAGCCTGGAGAAGGCTAACGTAGGGCCCATCTTTAAAAGAAGGGGAACAGGAGGAGCCGGGAACAATCGACCAGTCAGCCTGACATCGATACCTGAGAAGCTACT